CCCTGCCATTGACATTTATCTTTCCAGCAGCTATCAGCTCATTAATTTCCTGAAACAGATCTTTCCCAGCAGTTTGTAGAACACTGTAATCCTCTTTTCCACTAAGTATTCCAACTGGATGAACACCTTCATTCCATAAGATATATATAAATATACAACAAACTTGTCAAAAACTTCTTTTGAAACAGCTTTGCCACCTTAAGTTTGGTGGAACCACCGGAAGTCATTTTGCCAGTATCTTACATGTAGTATTACAAAAGATTATAAACAAATTAAAACAAAAAATGTAACCAATACTTGGGGTGACATTAAGCCATTTCAAAATGACTTTAGAAGGCCCATTTAAGGAACATAACAAATAAATTGGTAAATATTCAACACAACGGGAACACAACATAAATTGGTGAAAGGTAGGAAACTAATTTGTTAATTCCCCCAACTTGTTTGCTATACTTTTAGCAGCTCCGATGCCCCTGACACTGTGTAGATACACAGTGTTATATTTGTACTTTTATGTGGATTTAGATAATGTTAATTTGCTTTATGCATTAGAGTCAATTAATACTGTTACTACCTCCACTCACCACGGCTAGGCCAATACAATACAATATTTGATTCCAGGGAGGGGGATTATTTTGTGAGTTTTATATTAGGAAAGTTTGGAATAAATTGCAATGAGCTAATGTTTCTCATATTATTTTTTGGCATTGCCTTGGGGTGGGGAATTGTCAAATTCCCAAGTCCCTGGTGGAAAATATGCTGTGAACTTTAAGAAAATACAAATCCCCAAGGTCTTGTCAATGGTAATAGCATTATAAGAACAACTTACCTTTGGCAGACATGACCTTTTCCCCCTCAGAGAGAAGGGAAAATGACAAGACTACAAAATTTGTGACCCTTGACATTTTAGCCCCATCACCACTGATCTTGACTTTTTGAGTACTTGGCATTTGCTCACCCAACTGTTCAATCTATATTGTTATAATGAAATAAGACAGAAGTCAGTATTGTATAATTGAGATAGACAAATTGCATTTTCAGCTTATTCCCCAATATGGGAAATAGTTTTCCCTATTTGACTCCAACTTGGTCATTTAGCTTATGCGTACAGATGGTCTATGTGTAATATTGTACTTACCTGTTTTGAAATCTGGTGTTTAAGTTCTGCAGTAAAACTCAGCTGTGCACCAGGCCATTCCCCGGGTGTTCTTGTGATGGTGTACAGTTTATTCAGGGCATGTTTGCATTGCTTTATCAAATAGCTTCGCACTAGTCCTTCTTGGTCAATCATGGAAAACTCATGATATGCAGCATCACTAACACAAAATTTGTCCATAATGTACACTACACTCTTCACTCTATCTTTATCTTCATCTGAAAGGAATTGGTATGCTGACTTTTGTGAACCATTATACTGTAAGTTCACCTTTTCTCCATCCAAGGCAATAAGGGAGAGACTATCTAGCTTTAATCCAAAGGTTTCCAGAAACCAGAGAGATTTTTCCGCATTTGTTTTTAACTCTTTTAGTTTCCTTTGCTTTTGGGTTTTACTGACACTATCATACGTAAGCCCTTTGTTCGCATTAGTGGAATCACAGTGTTTGCAACAGTCTCTTTCCAGAAGGGTTTGTATATATGCCTGCAATGCCTCATTTTCATCATTTACATTTTCCACTGATTGCTCAAGCTCGGTTATACGTCGTCTATCCTGTGTAAATTCAAGGACTTCTTCAACAAGACTTTCACACTTTGCTTCAAGACTGTCTACTTGTTCTTGTAGCTTGGCTTTCTCTTCTTCGAGGCTGGCGATTCTGCGTGGGAGCTCGTTTGGATCTTCTACTTCGTGGCGATGTATAGCCAATTTCTTGACTTGTTTAAGTTTTTTTACCCTATTATTCCCAGAGATTCCCACACATGATTTCGAAGCAACGCTACATAATTCTTTTAAACGGCGCTCAATTCGATCTGTAGCTTCTGGCTTTAGGCAACAACCTGGTAAACCTTGTGAAATGTACAATAAATCCACAAACGATACAGACAACTTTTTGCTCTTTATAATTTTATTCCACTTGACTAATATTTCGACAGGAATTATTAAAGTTAGAATAACTTCATTTGAATGCTGCCTTCGAATATAGTTAAGACAGCTTTCCGATGTAAATGATATTTTCGACTTGAACTTTAGTTGGTCATGAATATTCAACGCATCCGACATTGTTTACGTGCACATTCATATTTTGAATAGACCGGGGAAATTACGCGCATTAACGCGCATTTATTAGCTACTCCGCTGATTCGAACCAGATTCGGGCTCAGTTGAAACTTCTGAAAACCAAGCATTGGCCAGCGTGTATTAGCATTAAATTATGCCCGAGCGTTTTCACGCATCAAAGATCTGAAATCTGCTGTTTACAACACCGCGGAAAAACGTCTGCGCATGCACCAAATTATGAAAATATGGCCGGGAATTTGAATATCAATTTCTAAAACAAAAACGTGCTTATTAATTGGTCAAAAATTAGTAAAACAAACGAGAAAATATAGCAAATCAGCAGACTTGACATTTCACCTGTTGCCCTGGCATTTTAAAGCGCAAGGAATCTGTCCCCAAACCTCCTTGCAGATGTTGCTGATTTACAAAGCGTTGATGAAGAAGTCGTTCATTGAACCCAGACTTGAATGAGCAACTCAGTGCTGAAGAATACTGGCAGGTGATATTCAAGGAGAAAATATTCTAATGCAGCAGTTGAGCGAGTATTTAGTCAACTTAAGTTTATTAAAACTGATCAAACAACTAACCTTTAACTCCTTCTCAGCAGGGTCCATTACACGTAGAACGTGCACGTTCTACGGATGTAATTCGTTCATATCTTTGGTTCAGTGCACGCTATGTAGATGAAAATACCACCATTCGATTCAGTATAAATATATACACTAATTTATAACGATAGTTTTAGTCAGTGGCTAAATTGTAGCGATTTATGAGCTTTGAAAGTCCAGCGAGCTTGGTATTTGATCAAATTACACAATATTACTAACAAATTATAAACATAGACATGCCTCTCGCCGAACATAACTTCGGCCCCTTGAGACGTATGCTCATTCTGGTAGTCTTGATGAATGAAGCAGTTAAAAATAACATGTATACTGTTATTTTCAAGCTTCTATCTTTAAAATGTGAGTTTTCTTGCCGAATTTTGCGTTAATCCCAACCGGAAATACGAGGAAAAACCGTCAAAACAATGCGAAGTTTGTATCGCGCGACTCTGGAAATGCCAGAAATGGATTCTACACCTATATGTGCGAGTTTGACGTCATCCCGGCTAAAGGGAGCTCCTTATTGGCCAAGTATTACGTAATACAAGTGTGTGCGAGTAAAACCCGATACCTTGAAAAATTTAAAATAAATATTTCTACTCGTCGTATTCATACGAAACTTTCCACATGAAAGCACTTGAATACAAAGAGTATTTTACACATTTACTTCAACTTTACATTGAGTACTTCAACTTTTTCTCTTTTTCTCGCTTGAATGTTTGGCGAAGCAGTGAGTATGAATATATGATTGTTTCAGTTTGTGTAATGTTTTGATGGCACTTGACCCCCTGTTCGAAAGGTTATATTGTGAGGATTTCAATGGTGGCATTCATTTAAGAGGGGGGTAAATACTCGCCGAGATATTTATATTAGAAAAATTGAATCGAAATGTAATACGAAACTACCGACTGAGAAGGAGTTAAGCATGAAAGTTTACTAGCTCACAGTGGTCGGTTGCTATGCAAAAACCTCCCGGAAGCGCAGGCTCGCATTGTCAGCAGAGTTGTCCATTAATATTCAAATTTCCCACCAAAATGTTCAAATATGGCGGCCAGCGATGTCTCTTCGAAGTTATCTAATCTAAACTTAGGCGGGGATAACAATGAAATGGAGAGACCAAAGTATTTTTGGAACTGAGCTTTGGTGGCTATGAAGTTTAATTTCGAGCCTACCTGGCTTGACGCGACATGGAAGGCCGAACAGAAACCAAATTTCGGAATGTGAAATTTGCACTAAGCCGCGGTTACCGCGGTATTGCAGAATACACACAATATACTCCACCAGTATACACTGCATATTTTGTATACATATGCTTTACAGTGTACACTCATCTACTATACACAATATACATGCATGTGACAAACACGCCGCATGTCTATAGTCAAAACTGTATATTCTCGCAATCTATCAACTTGCTATAGCTAGCTAGTCTATATATATTGTGTATATAGTGTATAGTTTATGGTATACATACAAAATATACACAATATACATGTCTATTTAGCCGACATAGTCAAAACTTTATATACAGTATATTCTCGCTTAATTTTATCAACTTGATTGTAAATATTAATCATGCAGATATATGAAACGTTGTTTTGTAATCAAATATTCTATTAGTCTGTTACACATTTTAGCACTCAAACCGGTCTTATAGTTATGCCACATACAAGTCATAAAGGCATGTTTTGTCGTTCTTAAAAGAATCCCGCTTTATATACAATCAATGACGCACAGTCATATGATACATAAATCCACAGTCACTCAAGGTCCCCTTGAGTGACTATGATAAATCATAAAGGCATATATGTTTCCTCCTTCCTAAAAAAATCCCGCTTTATACATTCAGTGACTGACACATAGTCATATGATAGCTACATAAGTCATAAAGGCATGCATACGTTTCCTCGTTCTTAAAAAAATCCCGCTTTATACATAAGACATGTACTCACTGATATTCACTCAAACACTCCATATACAGTATAGCCTACATACTTTAAATTTGATTATATACTGATAATACGCATATTGAGTATATAAGTATACACTATATATATATACACAGAATACACTATAGGCTATATAGCTATACTCTTTGACATTCAGTCAAACAGGCAATATGACACTATATACTCTTTGACATTCACTTAAACACTCACTATATACATTTCTGACTATACACTGATAATATACAAATATATATATACAATACACAATATAGCCTACACTATATATTCTTTGACATTCACTCACTCACTCACTATATATACACCACATACAATTTTGACAATACATTGTCTATTGTGAATATGTTATATAGGCTCACAAAATATGCACAATATATCCTACATGTCTATAGTGTATACATTTATGCAATATACAATCTATTCTGTATATATACACACTATTTACACAATAGACATAAAGTGTAGGCTATATTCTGCAATATCTGGGCATGCTGGAAGTATTGAGGGTTATTTTATATTTTTCATAATAAATACACCTTACGAAATCTTTTGCAGGTATCAGTTACATTAATAATATACCTGAATTCAGTGTCAACACAAATTTTGTGCTCATGCCACATGAGTATTAATCAATATCATATTTATGTGGAACACCACACTGTATATCAGTTTGAATTAGTATGGTACATGAGTGCATGCCAATGAACCATTCACTGATCTGCAAATGAGCTGTATATGTAAATACATAAAGCCGTGGATCAATGGACAAAATATTAGTGTTAAATTAGCTGTAATTTCAAGAGTCAATCCATAAAAGTAAATAGCTTTTAACAACAGCTAGTATCATGTTCAATCTAGGTCATTGGTAGTGTTTAATATATGACGGCCTGTCTGGTTCAATGATAATACAATCATAACAGGGAATAGTACAATTTCTTTTTCCAATTGTCTGAGGTCCTGAACCGTCTGATTCCCCGCAAACACCATCTGGCACGACCTTAAGACCTTGAATAGACTAATATTATTACAGTCATATACAAGTATCATAATAATACATACTTGTAATTAAACCTCATATTAACTGAAAATAATTTCACTAACTGGCTGTAGATGCCCGTTCCTCTGTATATTTTGCAAGCTCTTCTAGTTCCTGCCTTTTGAACGAAATTTGATAGTCGGCCTGGTTTAAATTTGCTTCCCAACATTGAATTTCCTTCCTCTGACTGATCACTTCAGCTCGACTTGCCTTGAGATTGTATACATGAGAATTCACCCAGAATTTGTGAGACTGCTTTTCAAAATCACATTTTCCTGTATGATTTGAACTCTTATTACACCTTTTACTTTTTCTGCATGTAGATAATGGGCTGTAAATATCAATACACATAAATAAATGAAATTTAACGATATACTTCGAGACGAAGGAATCCAATATGGCGAACGCATATTGCTATAAATATGCAAATGAAACACGATTTCCAACGAAGTTTCTTACCTATTTCCTGAGCTTGATCCCAGTTTAAATGAAACAAAATAAGATGATTTCCAACTTTGATTTTAGTTTTTCTTCCGAGAATGAGATTTAACAAAGTTATCGCGATTATTCGACGAAAATATGGTGAAATTTCCGGTTTTGTTGAATTTACACGGAATATATACACTACTAAGGGGGAGAATAAAAGTGAAAATGTGTTATTTCACTTTGCCTTTCCTAGGGGACCCTTCATTGTATATTTCATCGCAAGCAGTCGCCATAGAAACACGAAATTTGTCTTAAAGTAGGGTCAGTTCGACGGGCATTTTAAACTTATTTTGCAACATATTGGGAAAATTGACAACATATATCACTTTCGAGAGTGTAGTTTGTTCTATTAAAATATTTAAAAAGCAATTTTACTGCGAAAAAAGCTTGAAAAGCTCAAAATAAAACCTAGCTACTTCGCCACTCATATAAATTGCTTGCACCATTGTTTACGTGTCACGTGACCAACCAGTTGATGCGGGAGGAATTTGCATAGCAACCGACCACCGTGGCTCTGTTAACCACAAAGATGACAATCCTGAAATCAAGCTCATCAGATAGTAACAGTTGTAAAACTGTTAAACTTGATTGCACTATGGAAATCTTAAGTTTTCACCATACCATGAAAGCAAATGCTGATGATGTCAGTACACTGGGAAAAGAGTTTATAAAAAAAGTGAAAACAGACCAGCTGTTATAATAATAACTGGACATCTATACCATATTTGTACTTTAATTTATAGTATGGTTATGCCGGTTATGTAAGCTTGACAGCTTGTTAAAGTGTAAAATATTCAAAATAGCATAGAATGTAGAAGAGCTGCAGTGTGTTTTGTTACATTTTTGTACACAATAATATATATAAAATAGTGTTAGGGTTCTGAAAAATATCACTTTTGTTGCCTTAAACTGAAACCAAATACATTTTAATAGCAAAAACAAATTTTAAAATATTAGGAATTTTCCAGGATAAACCAGGTTGTTTGCAGGTAATTTCAGGAAATTATATGCAGAGAACAAGAAATTTCATAATTCCATTGTGGAAACACTGGATATTAAACCCTCGGGCGCGATATTCCAAGGAATATCCCCTCTTTTAAGAAGGGAAAATCTCCTGAGGGGCAAAAGTCCTGTGACACCGGAACCAACTTTTCAAGTTCCAGCTGGAACAGGATCTGGAAAAAAGTTGTGGCAAGAACAGGAATGGACTCATTAAGCGATATACGATCATGTTACTTTGTCTGCTGCCAGACAGTCGCGTACTTTCAGTCATCAAGGAGAGAGCTTGCAAATATTAGAATAAAAAGATTGACTAACGTTAAACATCATAATGAAGTGTTAATAGTGTACATTTTCTTGTGCAGTCCAAATTTCTTCCTATGCTATTCAATAAATAAACTTGATATTCTATCTATCTGAAAACGAGAAAGTTCTTCTTCCGGTCATGTTTTTCTATTAGTTCCGGCCAGAACTGAAAAATCGGGGTTCCGGTGCACCCCTAATAGTATATACAGCAGCACTGCTGGGGAGATACCCACAGTAGTGGTGATCCCATTTAACCCACAGTAGTGGTGATCCCATTTAACTAAGGTATACAACTGCACATTTAAATTTCTGGGGAGATCGCCACAGTAGTAGTGACTTCATTTTAGGTATATTTTTCTTCATACTGATCTTTACATTTTTTATGTGTTTTGTACTAAGTATTCCTGACGAATTGCTTAATACTTCATGAAGGCAACAGACTGAAGGCAAAAAATGTTCACATGATGCTGTTCTTAAACAAAAACATGTAGCTAATGAGCAATATATTTAAGGAAACATTGAACATGTTAATATTGTTTAGATTTAAAATTATCATTGCAAATGTTATGTTTGATTATTTGGCAGGTACTCCAGATAGAGTATTCTTTGACTTGGTTAACATTAATTTCTTATTGCGAGTATCTGTATCGACTAAAATTAATGGTATCAGGCAGGTATATGAAAACCAAAAATGCTGGTAGCACCCATCACTATTTTCTATGTATGAAAGTTTATTTGATATACTTGTGCCTGTGTGTTTGTTGAATTTATGGGCAATTCATTCACACATGATCTCATCAATATTTTTTTCGTTTTCACTATTCAGTAAATAAATGAAGGATGCAGCATTGTGGAAAACTTGTTAGTCTCTTCTTTACTTTTATCATTCACAACAACAGCACTTCTCTGAGCCAGATTGCATTTTTTTGTATTTTACCAAGGCAAAATACTCCTTTCAGAGCTGAATTGAAACTTTGTCTAGTGACATCCTTCCACCCTCGACATTGCTTTCAAAATGTTCTTGGGGGGCTGGGGGCATTATTGCTCAAAATGCATTGTGTTACCATTGTTTACAGTAAATAAAATAATTACTTGGTTGCTTTTCTTTCTTGCTTGGTTACTTACAGGTACTGCATAGTCTTCAAATCCAACTAATTAAAGGGAAATGTGAACAAAAAGGGTAGACAAGTATCCCATCAACCTGATTAAGTTTTTGTCCAACAAATGTTTTGAAAGGCTGGTCAAATTAACCAAAGGAAGATTCTGTGCAACAAAATGAAAGTCATAAACAACCAACACAGCAAGGGTATGAAAATGAACATCGATTCTGTTGAAAGTCGACATGGAAAGTCGAGTCTGAAGATGGAAAGGAATCTAATGACATATGCAAGCAATGTGAATCCTGCACAGATGCCAGCTGTCTGTTAGGATGCCAACAATGTAACATCTGTGTACACATGTTTTTGTGCAATTGCCCAGACAGATTAATTCAAAGCACAATTTGCAAACATGTCCACCTATTTCAAACCATTTTGAAAATACAAGGAAACAAAGAGGAGAGGCTAAAGTTCTGGCAAATAATATTGGCCCCAAAGCAACAAGAGAGAAATGATGTCAGTCAAGAAAAACAGCAGCTGCAGGAACACTTCCTACAATTTATAATAATAATAATAGGTTTTATTATCCATCTTTAGATAAAAAATACAATGGATTTACATTTAAAAAATATTTGCATATAGTACATTGTTAAAAAGAATTACATCAATTAATCAGTTAGTGAACGGGCCCTAGGAATAAACAAGTTCTTGTGTCTATCTGTATTTGATATTGTTTTGTTAAATTTAGGTTTACTTCTAAGATTATAGTTATGAATCTTTCGACTAGGTAAAAATACTCGGCATGGGTGATTAGTGTCAGACTGAATTTTCTAAAGCTCTCTCTTAGTTGCTTCAACTCTTCTTTCTCTAAGGGTAGGTAGGTGGTTCTTCGGCAGGCCAATGATCTTCATACTTCTAGTTTGTATTTGTTCGATTTCATCTTCTAAGTGTTTGGGGAGGCCTCCCCATACCGGGGATGCATATTCCAAGATAGGTCTTATTTTTATATATATATGTAGTGAGTCCAATTTCTACAGGGAGATTGGATCTATGGCATTCTCGTAGGTGGAATAGCTTTTTACAGGCTTTGCGAACAGTCTGATGAACGTGTGTATTCCATTTGAGATTGTTCTGCTGCCATACTCCCAGTAATTTAAAAGTCTCAACTCTTTCGATTGTTTCCGTTCCACAGAAAAGAGCAGGTGGTTCTGGGATCTTGTTTGAGAAGCATATCCACATGTCCTTAGTTTTCTTTGAGTTTAGCTCCATTTTATTGTTGGATGCCCATTTTATTACATCATTAACTACTTTCTGCATATTGCCCTGCGATTTTAAAGATATAAGTTCCTGTTGCATACAATCGTCAGGTATTTATTTGTACTGATAGGTAGATGATTAGGTACTGCATCTTCTAGGTCATTTATAGTTACATTGAACAAAGCAGGTGAGATCACTGATCACAATTTGGACTAATGTTAAGACCAGTTGTCATTCCAAGGATTCCCTGCTTCTGTTTGAAAAACAGATCCTTTCTGCCAAGAGTCTTCTGGATGCCACAAATAACAAGAAACTTCTGCATACCCTGACTGTAGAGAATATTCCAGGAAACAATAAGATCGAGCTGCAGCTACGTTTTTTTCTCCACAAAAAAGAAACATAAGCACATTTATCTGAATACATTTATTTCAAACAGTTTTAGTATGACCACAACTACCCACACTGAACCAAGAGACCTACAATTAAATGGGTATGCTTTATTTGGTGCAAAATTTACATGATTGAGAACTTCTTATCTTAGAGAAATAGAGAATATTCAAAGAGTGATTTTCAATCACAGAAGAACCTATTAAAGAATTAATGGAACAACACTTACTGATCAAGTTGGAATCAATGACCATCAACGATGAACATCCCACATCAGATGCATTGGGCTGTGATCTCTCTTCTGCACAGTCGTTATTCACTCCAGTTGCATGGGATAAACTTAAAGTGTTTATACAACGAAATTTTCAGTTGATGTAAGTTTAGATCAGTTGAGATATACCACACTGCCTATACATCATGTGCAAGGAGTTTCTTCAAGTAACTGTGACTATACTCACTACTGTACATACTACATAGCCTTCTGATGAAGGACCTTTGCTTAAAATGGTAAGTTCTTTCTCATTATACAGGAAGTTCATCCAAGAATCTCATCACAGTTAACATTTTTTAAACACATTTTAGGCATATTTTGGCAATTCTTCATTTTAATGAGAACTTGAATCGAGAAAAGAGAAAGACTGCAAGTGGTGCATCATATTATAATGTTCCCAAAGTTTAAGCTTGGTCAGGCGGTTGTTCAATATTAAATTCATGTGACTGCTTGTTACCAATGAATATGAAAAAAAATCTCCTAGAAACTACAGTACTTAGCACTTTCTCATCAGACAGAATAAACTAAAAAATGTAGGTGCATTTAAATTAGAGCCAATAGGCAAATCTTAGCAATGCTGAATAGAATTATCTGTCCTTATTGGGGTTTATTTTAACTGTCATTATTCAGGTTATGTTGATGAAATCAAAAACATTTTGTTTACAAAAGAAAAGAAAGAACTTCAAAAAACCATACATGTTTATGTCAAGAAAGTGCCTGAGTCTTTAACTTTCTAGTTCACCGACAGATGGACAAGAACATAAGCTATTGATGTGCAAAAGAAGCGAAGGAGCATGGAGATACCCTTTCACCCTCCATGTAAGAAAATTATACAAAGTAATTTATATAACTATAGAATAGTACCCACCTGGCGTCTCACACTTTGAATGTTTAATACTTTAATTCCAATGTAAATTTTATTTTGTATCACACTTTCCTCTCCCTCCTTCGATCATACCATGTTCTGGGCTGCCTGTTGCACTGCCTTTTTTGGTTTCCTGCATTTCAGCGAACTAACTTGTCCGGGTACCAGGGTCTTAGCTAGGGGGCCGTGTTGGCCGTGTTATCGCGGCCAAAAGTGGAAAAACACGGCTAGATAAAATTAACGCGGCTTTAGTATTTTTATATAAGGCCGTGTAGGTTCATAAAATAAGGTGTTGCTACTTACAACAGACAGAATTTCTTCCTATTTACGTCGTAAGAAAGTTTGTAAAATCTACTGTTGTTGTTGAATTGGCAAAAGTGATCCGTGATGTTTTAATATTTTGATGGATAATGGGAACTGTATGGTGTTAAAATGGTTTTAAATACCCCCAAGAGTTGCTGAAATAACTTAATATTTTAATGTCAGCGCGCAATATGAGTGTATGCTCGCCTTGTATTTGGTTGCAAAGCATAGAACAACCACAAGCATTATTGTTGGCGAGCATAACTAGAACCGTGATTTTGCTATTCAAGGTAATTGACATGTGCATGCCCTGGTCATTAGAAACACGCCCAAGATCTAAAATCCTAGCTAAGACCCTGCTGTGAGGTTTTCACGCGTGTACTGTACGCAGTAAAAACTTGCAGAAGTTGTGAATGACAAGCTTGTATAGCAAGTTGATAAAGTGACATTACATTATTACAACTTGTTGACAAGCTTGTTGTAAGCTTGTTGCAAACGCACCTTGTTGCCAAGATATGACAGTAGTACGTGTGTAGTCCTTGATAGCAAGGAATAGTGGCCACTCAAGAACAAGCTCCACTAACCTTCGGTGACTTCTCGACTTCCACCAAACACATGCGACAGTTCCCAGCAACTGACAAACGGTCATGGTAACAATATCTTGGTATTTGTGCCCCAACCATCGCACAGGCCTAAAGGAAAAAATAACTGTTAGTAGTTTGAGTCGCTCAGTTTAATTAAGTCGGGTGAAAGTAAATCATTATTATAACGTAAAGAAATGGTAACTTTCTTACTAGATTGATTTAGCGACCTACCACTACGTGGTGGTCTAATGAGGTTCCGAGGCTACCCCTCACCTAGGGGCTGGGGGTAACCGAGGCTAGAAAGAAAATTCCACAGAGAGAAAATTTTGAAAAATGTGATTGGCCGGCACAAATTTTCCGTCGGAAAAAAATTTTGAAGTTGAAAATTTTGAATTTTTAACAATGATATTTGCGGAAAATATTCTGTCCGTGGAAATGTTTCTTGAGTGGAAATGGGCGTTAACATGTGCGGCAGGCCCGAGGTCGCTAGATCAAGGGCGTCTCCCTGAGAAGATGTTGAAATTCAGACCACCTCAAATTACATTTCCAGTCAAATTGGAAAGCAGATTATTTTGCAAATTTTATCAAACAGCACTATCCAAATATGTAACAAAGAATATCCTGTACATTTTATGTTGGCAGGAAGCATTTCCCTCGCCTTTCCCGTGACATTTCTGTATATGTAAGAAGGAAATATTTTGCTTTATAATTTTGAGAAATAACTTTTGATTTATAATTTTGAGTGCTTGTCTCAATGTACTGTAGCCAGCCGGAATATCACCGACTTTAATTGGGAACCCTGATACAGTCATTCTATAATTTTGAATACCAGGTAATGACGATAAACAGCATGTAGTGATATTAGAGACATTTAGCATGTACTGTACTACAATGGCAACGCAATGACGACAGCCACAACAAACTCATTCAAATATTAAATAACTTTACACTGCATAACAGAGGTTTATACTTTATACGTGAAAGGACTTCTACTGCA